TCTTCTCTCTATCTGTGTTATTCGATAAACCTTATAGAAGATTAAAAAACAGCTATTTGAAAAAAAGTTAATTGATTGTTTCTTTGCTATGCTATTGACAATGGACAATGGATTTCGCACCTTTGCTAGGGTATTTCTGCTTTTCTATAAGTGCCATCTACTGTCGGAGAGTGGATTTGCATTTTTGTTCTGCCTGCCTGTTATTTTTGTATGCATTGGTCTGAACAGGTTTTTCATGTGCTTCTATTCAAGATGTTTCAAAACCTGTTACTCATCTTCCTTAACCCATTTGAATATTCCTTTTTTCTTTTTACAGGGGTTGCCAGTTTGACGAAGGAGCTGGATGAGTTTGAGCTGAAGAAAACCGAGGCTCGAGCAGTGACTGGCGTGCTGGCATCTCATCCTAACAGCACTGATGTGCACATCAGCAGCTTGTCTCTCACCTTTCACGGACAGGAGCTGCTCAGTGACACTAGTTTGGAGCTCAACTCTGGTCGTCGGTATGGCCTTATTGGTCTCAATGGAACTGGTAAATGAATGATCTGTTTATGTTGGGCTAATAGATCTCCTCTTGGTAGCTTCAGAAGTGACTTCAGTTGACAGGCTCTTAGAAAACTGACTTGTATCAAAATTTTTGTTTAGGCAAATCCATGCTGCTGTCAGCAATTGGTCACAGGGAGGTGCCGATTCCAGAGCACATTGATATCTACCACCTGACCCGTGAGATGGCTCCCAGTGAGAAGACTGCTCTGGAGTGTGTGATGGAGGTAGATGAAGAGAGGATCAAGCTGGAGAGAGAGGCTGAAAGGCTTGCTCATGAGGACTGTGAGTGTCAACAACTCTGATCAAATGCAAACCGTGTATTAGGATTAGCTCACCTAGAAATGACAATTGGCTTTTACTTGTTCAACATGAATTGTGTTTGATCCCAAGATGTCTGAGAACCAGTGATGGCATAAGGATAAACATGTAATGAAGGTGTTTAATGAACATTTTCATATTTTGCTAGAGAATGATTTCTTTAATAGGTCAGATCAAAATGAAAACTTTCCACGTTTTCATAGGAACTGTGTTTTTGTAACAGCTTCCTTTCCTAGGCGTGGTATATTGGACATCTCTGCTTGAGAAGGCTCCTTAATTCTGTCCAGTTTTTAAGGAATCTCATGTTTGAGGAACACTTGTAATTTGTGAATTTAATTGTTTACATTTGTTTGTCCAACTTTAGCTGAATGTGAGAAGCTGATGGAGCTGTATGAGCGTTTGGAGGAGCTGGACGCTGATAAAGCCGAGATGAGGGCCTCGCGGATCCTCAATGGTCTGGGCTTCACTACTGCTATGCAGCAGAAGAAACTCAAAGACTTCAGCGGTGGCTGGAGGATGCGTGTTGCTCTTGCTCGGTGAGCTTTCAGAATCTTACACAAGTTTAGAGCTGCTGGGAGATGATGTAACAAAAGGCCGAATGATAGCGCAGCTGCTTAGTGCTAACTGTGCTGTGACAAAAACTGTATGAAGCATATTTTCTGATCCCCGTGCATTTCTATGAAAGCATTTGCATATATCTGTCAACCATTTCATCTCATGGTTTTTCTGAAATCTTCAGGGCACTGTTTCTCAAGCCTTTCATGTTGCTGTTGGATGAGCCAACAAACCACCTTGACTTGGACGCATGTGTGTGGCTGGAGGAAGAGCTCAGCCAGTAAGTCATTATTTTTAAGACCAAGGCTATTTGAGAATATTGTATAAAAGGGTTTGTTTATTTGTTCATTGTGACTTGTTGCTGATGAAATGATGTTAACAAAAGGCCGAATTGTAGCTCTTCCATCAAGCAGTTTGTTCTTGGTATGGATAGAGCTTTGACAAAAACTAGACCGAAGCGTTTAACTGATCTGTCAGCACAACTCAAATGCAGTTTTGTTTGAATATGTTAGAGTACCACTTTGTTAGTGTTCTAATCCTAACCCTGTAGTAATACATGTTGCAATTAATAATTAATTGTATAATATCACCTTTAAATAAAGTGTCCTATATAGCAAAATTATTCGGTTATTGTGATGCAGTTATTTGCCAACACTGTGCTGAGAGCTGTGTGCTCAAGTTTGTTTCTTTTCTTCCCCTGACAGGTTCAAAAGAATTCTGGTTTTAATATCCCATTCTCAGGACTTCCTTAATGGCGTTTGTACCAACATTATTCACCTGCACCAGCGCAAGCTGAAATATTACACGGTAAAATGACTAATTATGTTCCTCCTACTCACTCAGGGCTGATTTCTTATAATTACAAATGTGCAGTTTCATTTATTTTATCATTCATCCTCTTCTGTAAAGGGTAACTATGACCAGTATATAAAGACCCGAGAGGAACTGGAGGAGAATCAGATGAAGCGGTTTAACTGGGAGCAGGACCAGATGGCACACATGAAGGTAAGCTACTACTACGTGTACCTTTGTAAACATGGAAACCTTCTGTGCCTTTCTCTAACCGCTTATCTTGTGATTTGATGTGGTTATCTAAACGTGTTCCTGTTGATCCTCAGAACTACATTGCTCGGTTTGGTCACGGTTCTGCCAAGCTGGCCAGACAAGCTCAGAGCAAAGAGAAGACTCTACAGAAGATGGTTGCCTCAGGTCTTACTGAGCGTGTTGTGAATGACAAGGTAATGAAAGAATCGTTTCCACTTGATCTCAGGCACAGCTCTATGCAGTTTGCCTTTTTTGTTGCTGTATGCCACATTTCAATCAGTTGCAAAATGACTCGAGCTACCTTCTCCTTTTAGACCCTGTCATTTTATTTTCATCCCTGTGGGAAGATCCCTCCTCCTGTCATTATGGTTCAGAATGTCAGCTTCAGGTATTCTGAAAATATGGTACGCAGGTCTAATAAACAGTAACGCGTTTTACACACTTTTGTTGCATCCTTCTCCGGGTTGAGGTTCTCACATTTATTTTGTTATATAGCCACATATTTATAAGAACCTGGAGTTTGGAATTGACTTGGACTCACGGGTGGCCCTTGTAGGGCCCAATGGGGCGGGCAAGTCTACTTTGCTGAAGCTCCTCACTGGAGAGGTAGGACACATTTAAATTTGGTGTTCACACATTTGATGTAATTGGGAGTCTTTAGTATTGTGGTCTATAAAACATCTCTTCTTTCAGCTCCTGCCCACAGACGGTATGATTAGAAAACACTCCCATGTGAAGATTGGACGATATCATCAGGTCTGTTGGCTAGATCATTTGTCATGGTATTTATGTAGTAATATAGTAATTATAATGGATCAGCTTGATATTAGTGAAGATGATGTCACTAACTTAAATGACCAAATTAATAACTTTATTGTTAATATTAAAATACCTCCAGATAATTTGAGTTCAGTGGCTTTAGACTGGTTTTAATAATATTAACTTGTGACGTTTTGTTTCTTTCCCAGCATCTAACCGAGCAACTGGAGCTTGACCTTTCACCTCTGGAATACATGATGAAGTGTTACCCTGCGATTAAGGAGAAAGAAGAAATGAGGAAAATCATTGGCCGCTATGGACTCACTGGCAAACAGCAGGTAGGCAGTCTTGTTTTTTACCTGCAAATAAATTCTACTTTATTTATTGACCCGTTCCTTTTTAAACTAGGTGAGCCCTATTAGGAATCTGTCTGATGGGCAGAAGTGCCGTGTCTGCTTTGCTTGGCTGGCCTGGCAGAATCCCCACATGCTCTTTCTTGATGAGCCGACCAATCACCTTGACATTGAAACTATTGACGCTCTGGCTGAGGCAATCAATGAATTTGAGGGTGGAATGATGCTGGTCAGCCACGACTTTAGGCTTATTCAGCAGGTAATGTGATCTTGCCCATCTTGTACATTTTAACTAATATTTTATCTCAGTCAAGCTAATGCAGCTGACATGAGGTCTTTGTTATTTTGTAGTAATATTGGTTTGTTTCCTTGCAGGTGGCTCAGGAGATCTGGGTTTGTGAAAAGCAGACCATTACAAAATGGAGCAAGGACATTCTGGCCTACAAGGAACATCTGAAGTCAAAAATCGACAAACAGATGCATGATTTATAGCCAATAGAGCCCCCATAGAAGGCAGTTCCAACATCTCTGCCAACCAGACTATTGCTCTCCAGGAAATACAAGCATGCTGGCTAGACTGCAGTCTCAGTACCACCCTTAACACCCGAGTCAGTCACTGGGGTTTCCAGTGGAAGTAGCTGTCTTGTTTTATTTTTTGTGTGTTAATATGCATCACAGTATTTGGACTTTACTTTTGAAAAACCTATTAAAAATTATGGGTGCGCACTTAGAACAGGGAAGGTCTATAGGACAAAGACTGTCATATGAACGATAAAGTAAACTTCAAGGACTCTTGATAATGGGTTTTTATTTGATCAAATATTGTGTAAAGCTGTATTTGCAATAATGATGTCTAATTAAAAGCGTACATTTATTGATTTGGCTTATACATTTTTCTTGGAGTTTAAAATATATACATTTTGCTCAAGATATATTGCCTTGGTTTTTTACAGAACCAGGAGGACTATGGTTTAGTGTCTGCATAGCGGAAAGATTCCAGCTTTCTCTCTGCCTTTGTAATCAAACTGGGATTAATAAATGTCTTTTTAGTATCTTACAAAATGTGAAATAACATAAAAGGAGGCTATAATTTACAGCTCTGACATTTTTACCATGGTATATATATTGAACAGTGTGACCATGTGTAAATGTTTTAACAATTAAAAAAAAATAGCTACGTAAGTAAGATGTATTCAGTAATAACATACTTGATTTTAATTCTAAAAAGCACGATTTCTACCACGAGAATTTGCACTTGTGGATATTTTGCCATTGTTTATTTTTCTGACTTGTATGGCCAACAGCACGTTTTCGCTGTAAAATAAAATATTTAATGTTCAATAGATACAGTACATTTTGCTAAAACGGTGCTACCAACATGGATACACTTTCCATCTTTCATGATTCGTTATCATTTCCGGAAACACCGGATGTACGTCATTACATGATTGAGTACATTGTTTTTACGTGGGGATCTCGAGTGTCACGTTAGCTGTTACAGTAAGGTAAGTTGAAATACAGAGCTTAATTTATAACTAATAAATTTGAACATACGTTTTAAAGTAATTTCTAACAGCGTTATTCTTATATGCGCAAATCATTTGTCATCTCCTGCACGACAGAATGGGCTTGAAAAGTGTCATCGATGTGCTAGCTAAGCTAAGCGCTGTCACCATGTATATCAGTCCTGTCACTGCTGCTGACTTTAGTATGAGAGTACTCGTTAAGACTAATAGTTTAGGATAAGAGACTGTTGTGCGGTGTATTTGACAGCTCTGCATTCACTAGCCTGATCAATATCTAAACCGATGTTCAATGTTTATTATTGATAATAACTGATGGATAACACAACACTTTTGACAGTACAATTAACCATGTAAATACTACTGTTAATATTTGATACATTAATTTCTAACGCCGCCTCTAAATTATCAGCATGATCACCACTTCGATGAACAAATGAAAAACAAAAAACCACTTCACTCTTCTACTTGCCTTCTGTCATCTGATTGCTTTTTAGCAAGAAAAAGAACATTAAGTATCATTTTTAAAAACAACTTCAGTATGTGGTAAACGTGTCTTTTTGCTGTGAATCTTTAATAATTTTTAAAAGTAGATGTAAGAATAACTTATATTGATATTAAAATTAAAGATAAACTTTTAACTGCACTGAAGCCACTTAAGTTTGCTTGATTATCCAAAATCGTGTGAATATTAAACATGATACATCAGGCTTTTAAAACTAAGCATTTAAATATCATCTTATTAAGACATACTGTTAGGAGAAATAGGGTGACAGCTAATATTTGTATGCATGTTATGTAAAAGTCTGTTATACTGTTATAAGAATCTCATTGATTTGCATTACAAGCTGTCAGTTCAGCTTACTGTTTGGTCATATAAATAACATCTGCACCAAATTACATATTTTTGCTCAGTTTAGGCCTAAAATTGAGATATTTTTTCTCCTCAAGTGTGTGCTCTATATTCTCTGTATATCATACTGTATGGGCCATAAAAGCCTGATGCATCAAATACGATACAAACCATATTCAATCTTTTTTAGGTTGTCTTTTAATTTTGTGTAAAGGTTCAATAAACTCTTCCATTTAAAAAAAACAAAAACATTTTGACATTTTGTCTATTATATCAAATGTCAGGCTGTACAGAGTTCATTTATAAACATTATAATCTGGTCAGTTGAAAGATAATTTTATAAAGCTGTTCTTTAACCTGTCTGTTTGCCATTGGCTTAAAACGGGAAAGAATCCAAGTGTTGGGCTCATAATGAATTCATGTGGTGAAGAGTTGCAAAGTTCCATTGGTGTTGGGGCATAAAATATTAATCTAAGCCGGGGTGCTCAAGTATCAGACCTAGTTGTGCTAGTTGTGATTCCATCCTCAGATGATTTCTTTCATTGTGTTAATGGTATGGTTTTATAGTAGACCATGAGTCTGTCAGCAGCCCCACCCAGCTATGCTGAAGCTACAGCAGGAGATAAAGAACAAGGAGCTTCTGGTAGCTTCACTTACGCCTCCCAGCCTCCCCCAATCCCACCCCCAACCATGCCCATGCACCCCAGCTGGGCTTATGTGCATCCCGGCCCCAGTAAGTGACCATTTATTATAATATCTTCCGTTATAGATGCAGATGTTTTGGTAATAAGCAAGGAGCATTATGTTTGATGTCTTTCTTCTCTGTTTGAACAATATTAATAGTGCAAAATGTCTGTTTAGGTCCAGGATATTCCAATGCGTATGCTGCAGACATGTCCTCACCCTTCTCTGACCCGAGCTCCAGCAGCAGCTTCGACGGCCTCAGTGGAAGCAACTGGGAGGACAAGAATGTCCGCCGCATGTTCATCAGGAAGGTGTGAAAGTCCTGATTCAATTGTTTTTCCATTTGAAAAACAGCAGAAATTGTGTCAGTAAGACAGTTCTAAAGTGAATGTTAGTGTTTGAAATTAATGCTGTTCTTTTGAAATTTACGTTCATCAAGGAATTGTTTAAAATGTATCACAGTTTCCTCAAAAATACTAAGCAGCACAACTGTTTTCAACATTGATAATAATAAGAAATATTTCTTGAGCACCAAATCAGCATATTTCTGAAGGATCGTGTCACACTAAAGGCTGGAGTTGTGGCAGCTGAAAATTCAGCTTGACAACTTTTGCAATTACAGAAAACGGCTGTTTTAAATTGTAATAATATTTCACAATATTACTGTTTTACAGTATTTTTTTATCAAATAAATAGTCTTGATGAGCATAAGAGATGTCTTTCAAAAACCTTAAAAATCTTACCCGAAATGATGATTAAATGCTTATGTATGAACATCCTAGTCTTGAAAAGCATGTATTTCATTCGCAGGTCTTCTGTATCCTCATGGTTCAGCTCATGGTCACATTTGGTGTGGTGTCACTCTTCACATTTTGGTAAGTGATACACACATCAGAGTACAAGACAAAGCCCCATTTTATCCATTTATTCCACTTTTAAAAGAAAGCACTGCAACTGATGACCGTTCTGTGTTTCACAGTGAACCAGTCCGGAAGTTTGTACAGTACAATCGAGTTTTCTATCTGACCTCATAGTAAGTGACTCAATTATACACTGTTCTATTTCCTCATTAGAGGCTTTGGGACTTTATGTTTAAAGCATGTTTACCCTGTTAGTGACCCTGCTTTGTTTTTGTCCAGCATGACTTTTATGGGAACATACCTGATGCTTGTATGCAGCACAAATGCACGGTAAGAAGATTTTTTTTTATTATACATTCTTCTTGTTTTTGAGATTGAGACCAGCATAGGAGATGTGTGATTTCAGGAACTATGAGCTTCTTTAATATCCATCACTTATCTATCAGTGTTTGTGTTTCATCTACAGACGAAGATACCCTACCAATATGATCCTTCTAGCCATTTTTGTAAGTAATCTCATTGTCTCATTCATTTACAAGTTAAATGATAGTAAACACTCATTTATAATAAGTATATGTAATAATAATAAGTATTCATTATCATAAAAATTTGTTGTAACTACCAGAAAAAGAAAGGGGTGAGTATTCTTGCTTTAATTTCAGACTTTGGCAATGTCCTATATGGCAGGCATGCTTGCCAGGTAAGAAAAACTTCAACTTATGTACTTATATTCTATATTAAAAATAAAGCACCGCTAGAGGTGAAATGTTCTTTATAATTGTTAAGATTTTATTCCATTTTGTCGACGCAAATAGCCTCGTGGTGCTTTGGGCGTCCCGAGTTCGAGTCCCAGCTCGTGGACCTTTCCTGATTCCTTCCCCCTCTCTCTCCCACTTCACTTCCTGTCTAGCTACTATCCTATCTTAAAAAAACAAGATTTTTCCCCCAATTACAGAAAACGGCTGTTTTAAATTGTAATAATATTTCACAATATTACTGTTTTACAGTATTTTTTTATCAAATAAATAGTCTTGATGAGCATAAGAGATGTCTTTCAAAAACCTTAAAAATCTTACCCGAAATGATGATTAAATGCTTATGTATGAACATCCTAGTCTTGAAAAGCATGTATTTCATTCGCAGGTCTTCTGTATCCTCATGGTTCAGCTCATGGTCACATTTGGTGTGGTGTCACTCTTCACATTTTGGTAAGTGATACACACATCAGAGTACAAGACAAAGCCCCATTTTATCCATTTATTCCACTTTTAAAAGAAAGCACTGCAACTGATGACCGTTCTGTGTTTCACAGTGAACCAGTCCGGAAGTTTGTACAGTACAATCGAGTTTTCTATCTGACCTCATAGTAAGTGACTCAATTATACACTGTTCTATTTCCTCATTAGAGGCTTTGGGACTTTATGTTTAAAGCATGTTTACCCTGTTAGTGACCCTGCTTTGTTTTTGTCCAGCATGACTTTTATGGGAACATACCTGATGCTTGTATGCAGCACAAATGCACGGTAAGAAGATTTTTTTTTATTATACATTCTTCTTGTTTTTGAGATTGAGACCAGCATAGGAGATGTGTGATTTCAGGAACTATGAGCTTCTTTAATATCCATCACTTATCTAGTCATCTAGGTTGACTTCACCACCTGTCATGGATTACTTTTCTCCCTCATGATGGTGCTGATGATCACCGGGCTTCTGCTGTTCTTCACTGCACCATTTGGATATGTAAGCTGCTTGTAAACCCTTAGTACTAGATCACTTTGAAGCTGTCATGATAATCCTGTGTCATAATCACTTAGATATACCTTTTACCTTTATCTTTTTGAAATATGTACACTGTAAAAAATGATCGTAATGCAGTGTTGTCAACTTAAACATCTGCTTCTGTCTGTGGTTTTAGATACCCTGGTTGCATACTGCTTATGCTGGATTTGGTGCTCTGGTTTTCACTCTGGTTAGTACCCTTTAACTATGCAATATCTTCATGTTTATGTGCCTCGTACAAGATGTAATTATCTTCTTTTTGTTGTGCTTTAGTTTCTGGCGTTTGACATGCAGCTGCTGATCGGCAACAGGCGGTACTCTCTGAACCCAGAGGAGCATGTGTTCGGAGCCATCTGCCTCTACATGGATGTGGTTTACATATTCCTCTTTTTCCTTCAGCTCTTTGGGAGCCGTGAGTGAGGTGTTCATGCTGTGTCCAGGCTTTAGCCTTTGTCCTCTTTTACACACACACACACACACACACACACACACACACCCTTCTCATTTACTCCAAGGTTTGGTGAGGAGCGAACAGTCTTCCTTCATTCTGTGTGGCAGTTGAAGTTTGATGTGTGCTGTTGTTTTCCTTCTGGTCATGGTTAGGCAGCTCTTTGCACACCTCGTATGCACCCTCGCTGCAAGATAACCATGCTACCAATCAGATATACACATGCTGTTCAGGGTCGACAATCACTGCACATCATTTTTGTGTTTTCAGTTCAAGTGATTTGAAAAACCCTAGGCCATCTGCATTGAATAATGTTTAGAATTCCAGCACACAATAATCTGAAAAAAATACTTACTTGTCAATGGATAATATCCCTTCGTTTGCACGTTGTATAGTTGAAATGAATCTTCTGACAGGCGATCACTAAATGTATAACAGTACCTTCAACCTAAGTTTCGTCAATCAGCAACATTGTGCAGTGAAATTATGCCAGAGCTAGAGAGGCCTGTATGTGACACTTTGAATTGCTTTTTGTGCAATAACCTGCTCTTGAATGGGAGACAGAAGCTGGAGCTTACAGGAACTTGTTGCGGTCAGTAAATATTTTGTGCCTCTGAATGCTGGTTGATAATGAGATTTCAGTGTTGTTGTATGCAGCCAATGCAGATTTATAAAAAAAAAAAAAAAATTATTATTATTATACTGTGTGCCAAATATAGTTCTGTCACGTGAGAGATTTTAATTGCAGCACTTGGTCCAACAGGTCAGTTGTGAGGTCTGCAATATATGTCTATGAATTGCCTCATAAATTAACTCGTAAGTGTGTGATGCTTGGGTGTTTTTGTTCATTTCCAAGACACTTGATTGCTTTTATTTCTAATTTTCTAAGTCACATTTGAGTCAAATGTTTGAAATACTGAATTATCAGGTGCTGACTTATTTGAAAAGAGATGACTTGTTACATTCAGTAGAGACAAAAGATGATATAATGTATTTTATGATTTGTTTCAAGCACATAGGGCTTATATTCCATGGGCTTCAATATACTTCTCTTGTCTCTTAAGAACTTATAGAGTGTGTTGACATTTTAATTTGGGAAAACTTCTTAATTCTGAAAACCTCAATAGGTTTTTAGGTCATTTACACCTATATTGACATTCCTCTTTGCTTGCATTTTAAACTGTTTCTATAAATTAAGCATTCATCTTTTTGATGGATTGGTGTTTCATTTGTCACAGTGGGTTATAAGAGATTTGGGTAGAAAGCCTCACATACCCATACTCTTTATTTCTTGATTTAAGGTTATACTAACCTACAGTATTGTTACTGAAATGGCAGTTTAAAAAACACAAATGTATGTATTTTCTCATATGTACATTTCACACATGCAACTTTGTTCCTTTTTAGATTAAATGTATAAATGCTTTACAGACACTGAACGCTTAACATGCTTGGTTTTGAAAGCTATTTTTTCAGCTGAAGGATTTCAATTTGAGGTGATCTGTGTAATTTTTTTGTGAAGTCTTATTGTACACGTGCATATTAAGTGTGAGTGTATATGGATCACCCTATGCCTTTCCTATCTCTCTCTCTGTGCACTTCTGTGTCTACAAATGAATACGTTTAACCTATAATTACTGCATGATCTGTGGTACAGAGACCCACTGTGTGCTACTTTAGAACTGAAAAGCATTCCTTCTTTTTCCTGTTAAAATACTAATGGCCAGTGGGTGATTACAGGATATTGTGTTGTTTTGTAACCTCATCTGTGCTTTAGTAAAATAAATAAACAGAACCGTGAATAATAAACTGGTGTGTTGTAGGTGTTATTCCTGTTATGAAGTCATTTTAAAAAAATTCCTTAGTAGGTCAAGAATTGTCATCTGTACAGTAGTCAACATTTGAAGTGGATCAAAACCTTTCATCAAAGCTAACCTAAAACCAAAATGCGTTCTTGTCTTAGTACAACTTTGATGAACTTTTTTGATCCACTTCAAATGTTGACTACTGTAAACCTCCTCTTTATAGTTTATTTGTAAAATATTATTTTAGTTTTTTTTTTAAGCTTTGCTCATGTTTTTTTGTTTTACAAAAATTAATTACAAGTTAAAACAATATTCCCAAGGCAAAGGGAAATGTAAATAAATAAATACAATTTCTAATTGTGATATTAGGATGACATTAAACGAATGTGTTTGTGATATTTGAAAATGTGATTGTTTAAAATTATATAAGAAAATGTGAGACCTCAATATTTTTATTAATAATAATAATAATAATAAAACTACAGGAATGACCTGTACGTTTGAGTGCAAAGGCATTAAAGGGGTCCTATTATGCTCTTTTACAAAGTCTTGATTTTGTTTTGGGGGTGTACTAGAACAGGCTCTCATATTAGGTTGTTCGAAAAACATTATATTTCACATATTTTACATTATTACAACTCCCCAGTCTGGCATGAATAGTGATTTCTGTTAAATAAAATATCTCCTTTTGAAGTGGACTTTGAGCTTTGTAACTTCGCAGATCTTTTTATGCTCAAACAGCAACATTACAGACTAACTAAAGTTGAAAAAGTGAAAAAGCATGATAGGACCCCTTTAAGATAAATTAATAATAATATAATAAATACATATGCCATGCACATTTCATCAAAAGCCGTCTAAATAAAATGTAAATATAATTTATATCCAAATTGAAATGGAAATAAATGGAATGAAAGTAAATCGTTCTTCGTGAGCTGGTCACGTGACCGCCCCGCCTGACGTCATTGTATAATCACAGAAACAACATGGCGCTGCGCTCTTGCTGTCGACGGCTGGCTGCACAGGTAGCTCATTTAAAGCACTGTGTTAACGACTGCACGAGAAATGTATCCGGTTCTGGTTTATCTTTAGCACGAATCAAACCGCTGCATGAACCGGCGGGCGTGTTCGTGCGGTCGAGCCGCTGGCACAGAAGGTCATGGCATCTGCGTCCCTCTGGTGCTGCAGGGGTCAGCAGCTGGACTCTTGCGTGGGGGGTCATGGGTGAGTTGACATGCAGGTTTTCTGTGACTCGAAAACGTTGGTGGCTGTATTTGACACGTGACGTAATATGCGTAATGCTGGCATAACAGCGGTTCTTTCAACGCAGTGTGAGCTCTGTGTAATGATTCAGATGTTCTAACAGAGAGATTTGCTTTTGCATCAGCCTTTTCGCTTTTTGGAAGCTCTGATGAGAGGACTGAGGAGCAAAAACTTGAGGATGAGCTTATTCTGCTCTTGAAGAAAGCCAAGGTATACTGTGATGCTCTACTGAGTTCTCTTTACTGACACACAGGTATCACATCAAACCCGTCTGATCCTGTACCTTGAGCTACATTTGTTTGTCCTAGCCTAGTCTGAGAGACCACAATGACAATTTGAAAAAAGAGGGACAAAGACTAATATTTTTAAGTTCAAATTATTGCTACATTGTTACGCTGATAATATATTTTGTAATTAAATTGTTTGTGTTAAATAAAAAAATATATAAATGAGAAGCAAGTTCAGTAGTGGTTTCAGGTTTCTGGACTTTCCAAAAACAAAAAAGTTCTAAACTATATTAAAGGAATACTTCACCCAAAAAAAGAACCCTTTGGCCATCCAAGATGTAGTTGTTGATTTTTTTCTTAATTGGAACAGATTTGGAGACATTTAGCATTAAATCACTTGCTCACCAGTGATCCTTTGCAGTGAATGGGTGCCATCAGAATGAAAGCCCAAACAGCTGATAAAAACATCACAATAATCCACAAGTGATCACACAACACCAGACCTTCTATTAATGTCTTGTGAAATGAAAATTTCAGCAAATTTAAATTTTTGGGTGAACTATTCCTTTAAGGCTGGCATACATTACATGCATTTTTCAAATCAGATTTTAAAACCCTTTGTGAGTAGGCATTCTTTTTCAGCTGCAGATTTTGTAAATGGTTGCATTGCAAACAAAAAAACAAGGCGTTATACATTAAATGACTGAGGATCACACACTAGCAGTCATGCAGAAACATGGGCCTCGATGCTAGGAGACGCATGACAAATGAAAACAACATGTGTTCTAAAATCAGCTGACAAATATCAGACATGTTTGATATTCTTCAACTGGAAGTCTGAAGCTAAAAAAGAAGTCACTACATGATTTTCTGAGAAATGTTTCAATTCAGATCCTCAGACTGGCTCTGACTTTCAGAAACTAGCATCAAATTTTCCAGATTTTAAATGGGGGCAAAAGTTATGTAGTGCACTCCAGTCTTTAATATTTTTAAAGATGATTTTCATAATATTATTCACAGTACAGCATGATGATTGGGGAGCTGGATGCTGCCAGTGGATTCTTACACAAAGCTGTTCGACTGGCACATCAGATGCACAATAATGATGCCATTATATACACATACAGCCTGGTATGTTGTTTTTTTCCTGACTTTGTCCTCCTTTTTCACCTCGCCCAGTCCATTTTATTCTCCTTGTTAAACAAAACATTGCAACCATCAATAGTATATATATTACATGACAGAGAAGATTAAATGAGAGCATAATTTTGCTTAATGTTTCTCTTTCTTCACAGATGGCGAATCTTGCATTTGTCCAAGGTCAGCTGGATAATGTGAGTAAGGCTGAGGGTGATCTTACTTACTCTAAATTAGTGCGTACATCTGTAGCGAGCGGCAGCATGTGACTCTCTTTGTTGTTTATTGTTGCAGGCTGAGAAGCTGTTCAAAGCAGCCATGAGTTTTATGCTGTCAGGAGGAACACCACAGGTAAAAACACTCATTTTTTTAATGAACGTGTAAGGCTTTTATACCCGTTTTATCTCAAAAGGATGACAATGCAGTGATTGAGATGTCGCTGAAGCTGGCCAGCATATATGCCACTCAAAACAAGTGAGTTCCGATCCTCTGCTGAGAGAGTGAAAGCAGTCCGAGTTAGTTGACCTGTTAACCTCTGCACTGTTCAGGAACTCTTGACTTTTCATTTCCAGGAACGAATTGGCAGAGCATGGCTTCCAGTTCTGCACAGAGTCTTTAGAGGCCAAGATTGAGAAACAGAAGGAGCTTCCTCCAGAAAGCCTGTCAGGTATCACAGCCACCTTTCAGTTTTGGCTGTACGTCACTGCAAACAGAGCTTTTGTGTTTGTTTGTCAATGTATTGATCTCTTACTATATGTTTGTTTTTTTAATTAGATGAGGAGCGCAAAGACACCAGGTTGCTGCTTGGTCTTAGTCTGGACGCGAGGGCACGTTATTTGGCAGCTAATCATCGTTTCACAGGTGCCTGCAGAGATTATCGGCACGCGCTACAGATCTGCCAGGAGGAGCAGGGAGAGTCCCATCCACAGGTGATGACATTACACACGGGTACATATATTATCATAGTTACCCAATGAATATGTTCCTAGTTCTTTTACAAGATCTTCGGATGTGGCAAATATTTTGTCCCATTAAATGTGTATCGTGTAATCTGCTTCAGACCCTGGTTCTGTTGAGTGACCTGGCGACTGTGTTGGACCTGCAAGGAAAGCATGATGAGGCTCTGGCTCATGTGAAGAAGGCGGCTGAGCTTGGACAGGCAGCGGGTCACCCTGATCAACATGTGCTGCTTGGGAATATGGCGGGAATTCTGATGCACAAAGGTTCAACTGATCCCTTTGGTTCCACTGACGTTTACATATAGTTTTTTAACAAATGAAGTGCACAAATCACAAATGAATTCTAATGTACAATCCCAAATGTAAATATGAAAAATGTATAAAATACTAATATATAAAAATACAACATATTATATATACTACCATTTTACCACTTGGGGTCAGTAAGATTTAAAAAAAAATGTTTTTGAAAGAAGTCTCCAAGACTGTTCAATGTGAAATAATTAGTTTAAAAAATGTAATTTATTCCTGTGTTGCCAAAGCTGATTTTTCAGCAGCCGTTACTTAAGTCTTCAGTGTGACATGATCCTTTAGAAATCATTCTATGTGAAGGGCCCTATGAAGTCCGTTTAATTTTTTCAAAAAAATCTGGTTTATTTTTATTTTTTCCAAATTCCATTTTTTCCATTTAAATTTTTCTAGGTTCTGTTTTAATGGTTAAATTAAAAAATATTAATCAAAAAGCATGTCTAATTCATTGAAATCATGAAACTTGTGCAATTTACCAGCAATTTATTAAAAGTTTAACAAAATATGAAATACTTTATTTTTTTTCTCAGATCTTATTTTTTACCAAATTCTGTTTTCCATTCATTTTCTGGATTACATTTGAATGGTTTCATAAAATTTTAATAAACAAAAGCATCTCCAATTAACTGATTTAATTGTATTATTATTTTTTTTATTTTTTATTTTTTTCCAGAAATGCTGTGTTTTTGTTCTTGTATTTACATTTGTCTGGTAAATAAATTCTGGTAAATATTTTCTTCTAGTAAATAATGTTTCTTAAAAAATTATGTTTTAATAATAATTGTATTATTAGTAGTAGTACTATCATTACGTTAAGTAATATATTTCTGTCAAAGTTTCTTCACGTTAAAACAAACTTTTATTTTGATAAAAGTTGCTGTGAAGACAACAAGAAGGTTTGTGTTTGTATATGATACGACGATAGGTTTTCTCAAAAGAAATGGTAAAATGCCCATGAAGTGACTCTTTTAGAGCAGTTCTACAGATTATGTGTTCATAGGGCCCTAAATATGCTGATTTGATGCAGATAAATATATTTTATTATTCATGTTTAAAACAGTTGTGCTTCACTGTCATTTTTATGCATTCGTGCTTACTAAAAGTATTAA